AGATTGCAGCCTCTGACAGCAGTCTCCTGAGACTAGGGGTGCCTTGTGCAACCATAGCTGATGAAAGACAAAGTAAAATGAAATACATCTTACCTGATGTAAACACGGCCAACTGCCAGAGTCCCCAGGGCAACCAGTCATCAAGGAGCAGAAAGGGGGAAAGGAAGAAAAATGCTTTCATTAGTGAAACACTTGATGGGTGGGATGGGAGCAGCAGAAGGGAGAAAACTGTGGGGCACTACAACCCCACTGAGGTTCTGCAGGGACTACTAGTATCAGAAATTAGCTAAGACTGTACTAAAATCACAGGAAAAATGAGGCGGTAGAGACAAGACCCCAGTCTCTGCCCCTGGGATCCCACTACACATGAAGACCCACAGGGCCCAGACCACCCAGACCCAGCTTCTCTATAAGCCAATCTTTGAGAAGTTACAGCCTCTGAAAGAATTCAATGAAAGCTAAGGACCCTCTATGCAGTAAAATTCATGGGAACATTCTTATGCATGTGCACACACATACTATTTTATACTCAATTTCAGTGGGTTCATAGCCTCCTCAAGCTCACAAGGGATGTGTGGACTCCCAGATAGTCCAGATCCAGTTTAACAAAAATCTTCAGGTTGTCCTCCCTGAGATCTCTGCTGGAAGTAGCTTAGAAGTTCAGGTCTACACTACATCTTTAAGGAATGGAAAGGATGGGGATGCTACTTGACAGAAAAGGCTACCTTCAGCTTGAAGAGCTGCTGCTCAATCCCTCAATTTTCAAGAGGAAACTAAGGCTCAGAAACATGAAATGACTTGTACTAGGACTAAAAAATATATCTTCTGACTTCAGGTCACTGCCTTTTCTGTCACCTAGCACTGCATATAAAAAATGACATTTACAGAGTTGAAGGAAAAGTTATTCAACTCCAGATTTTTTTTTCTCTCTCATTCATTCATTCAACAAATATCTACTGCATACCTACTATGTGCCAGGAGAGTGGAAAATGCAGACATGATTTCTGTCCCTTACATACCATGTATCTTCTCTAGCTAAGTAAACCTTGGACTCAGAGGATAGTTCCTTGCCCAATTTCTGAATCACAGTTAAGATTCACAAATCAGATACACAGTCTTCCCGGACATAACATGCCTCACATCTGAACCCAACATTAATCTTGTAATGCCATTCTAAACTGAGTGGAGAACACCTCAAATCATAGCAGATCTCTACTGGCAACTTCCCTCAAAGGCTGTAGGGGAGAAGTGATGGTGACTGGGTGACCCTTAGGAGAAAGGTCAGGGTTATAACAATGACAGTGATTCATTTATCATCTACAGTCATGTGGCACTTAATGACAGGGATACATTCTAAGAAATGCGTCATTAGGTGATTTCATCATTGTGCGAACATCGTAGTGTACTTACACAAACAAGATGGTATAGCCTGCTACCCACCTAGACTATATGGTACATACAGCCTATTGCTCCTAGGCTACAACCTGTACAGTATGTGACTGTACTGAATACTGTAGGCAACTGTAACACAATGGTCAGTATTGGTGTATCTAAACATAGAAAAGATAGTGCATTGCTCTACATTACAACACTAGATGATGGGAATTTTTCAGGTCCATTATAATCTTATGGGACCACCATAATATATGTGGTCTGTCACTGAACAAAATGTCATTGTGTGGTGAATGACTGTACTGTATGCCAGGCTGTGGCTGAATAGCTTTTTATTTGTTAACGTCACTGGACGGTCACGTTAACCTACAAGGGAGGGTGGAATTATCTCCATTTTACAGATGCGGAAACTGAAGTACAGAGAAGCTAGCAGATTTGCCCAGGGACACACCATCCAGACTGAAAGTGTCTGTTTCATATTAGAGTCTATGTTCTCTCCAATGGTACCCTGCCTCTTAATTTGTCACTCATTTCAAGACTGGTTTTATGATGATACCTTGAAGTTATCTCCAATTTCTAGGAGAGGGTTAATCACCACAGTTTCTACATAATACAATGAGCCTCAAGTACAAAAAATCTCTGCTCCATTCTATTAATTCACCAATAAATTTATCTTTTACATTGTTGCCAACTTAAACTCCCTTAAATATTGTTAAAATGATTCTTTCTTCACACCATTTCCCTGCTCAAAAATATTCATTAGCTTTATGTCCTTTCAGTCAAATCTGGGTTTGATAATTTGGTCCAACCCTCCCACAACCATTCTTATTTCCTAACACTCCCAGTCCCTCATCTAGGGTGCTGTGAGAGGTATATAGTAGCCTCAGGGTCTCAGATGAACCCAACAGTGCACATGCCTGTCCCCAGAAATTGCCTGCCTTGGGGTGGCACACACTCTTAATCTTACCTGGCACCCTCAATCCAGCCTTCAAGGTTCAGCTCAAAATCTCAAGAGAAAAAAACTTAACTCCACATTCACCCAGGTTCTCAGCCAGGAGGTGTTTCTGTAATCACTAAGGCTGGAATGGACACTGATCCTACCACTTCAATTTGATATATATACAAATATAAAATATAGTAACAATTATATGGTCATAGCTAATACATAGTATTTATTGCATGCTATGTGCTTTTCACAGCCTTTTACATATTTTGAACCATTTAATACTTGCAAACAACCCTGTAAAATGACGAAGTGTGTGTGTGTATGCACTCTGCCCCAGGTCATCCAGTAGGAAAGTGGCAGAGTCAAGATTCAGAAGGAGGAAGTCTGGCTCCACAGTCCTTGCTCATAACCACCATGGTACACTGTTTCTAGGCTCAGCACAGCAAGTGGCGGGTAGTAAATGGTGAGTATTATTACTTCTGAGATGGGGAGAGGAGCCCACAGCACAGATAAGATTTGCCCAAAGTCACCCAGCTCATCAGCAGCTCAGCTGGGATAGGAACCCAGGTCTTCTGTCTCTTGGGCCTGAAGTAACAGGACCCAAAGTGGGTAGGAAGCCTTCTGCTCCAAAGCTGCCCAGGGCCACAGGCTTTCCAAACTTGGCAGGGTGTCCTCTGGGTCGGCCACAGGGATACTGACCAGAAGAGGTGGCCACACAGGCTGATGACGGCATCCTTGGCTGTGTCCAGGCAGATGTTGCACTCAAAGGTGCTGTCCTGCCCTCCACTCTCGCCAGAACCGTTGCTGCTCCCACTGGGACCCCCTGCACTGGAGTTCTCAGGAGATGCAGAGGCCGAGGGCCCCTTGCTTGCCATCCTTGGCTGTCAGCAAAGCTCTGAGAGAAGATTCTCCCCAGGGAAATCCTGAAAGACACAGAGCCCTTGATTGCCCATTTCTGCAGGCCACTCCTCAGCTTCCATCCCAAACCCCCATCTTCTCTCAGCCCCAGAGCTGACTATGACTGAACCCCTGAGCAGACTTCCCAAAGGGCTGCAGAGGATGACATTCGTGGCGCACACTACCTAGAGGGCAATGACTCAGAAACTTTTCATGAACAAGACCCAGAACATATCACATGGATTTACAAACTGCACAAATACAGAGCAGCCTCTAGATTTGGTTTTCCGTAGGAACTGGGACCCTATCTCCCTTGTCTTTACATTCTCCCATGAAAGCTATCCAGATGATAAAGATATGCTCAATTAAACTGAACATTCAGGATGTCCTCCTAACCTTGGACAGACTCTATATTGGTGGGTTAATCTGCTCAAGCAGGAAGGTTGTGATTGGTATATGCCAGAACATAAACAAGTTCCTATAACTATGAAAGGTTAGCAAGCTAGGAAGGACCACAAAGTTCATCTGGGCCAACATCTTCCACACTGCAATATTCTTCATTCCTCCTTCTGCCATGTTGGAATACTACCTACCTTATTTTGTCTAAATCTATCAACTTTTTGGCCTCAATACATTTAAAGTGAAGGCTTATGTCACTGCTATAAATAGAAAACCAGAATTATCTTAAGTGAAAGATAAATATAAATGTAATGAAGGAAAAAATTGTTTATCCTCGTATCACCTGAAATCATCTGGCAAACTCATACTGTGCTTTGGGCAATCTTGATCTGGTCCAAGCTCTTTTGGAAACTGCAGCCTGAGTTACCTTGGCTAGCTGACTGATGTGGAACTGAGACTGGGACTGACAACATCCTGTTTGTATTCAAACCACCGTAGCACCACAGAACAAGCTGACCACCAAATGCTGGTAGAGACAGACTATGGTTGACTATCATCTTCAAGTCAAATAACTCAGCCAGGTGTTGAACAAGGAGGATGAGACCAACAGTAAGGGACACAGAGAAATCCTCGGTGCACATTGAGAATCTGTCAAGGAGCCTATCTGGCCACACTCAGCATCTCAGAAATGCCAAGTAGGAAATGTTGGCTGATTACCATAGTCCGAAATCTGGAGGCTTGGATGCTGGCCTCAGCCGAGCCTCTAGCTTACTACATGGTTTTGGGGACCTCCCTTCTCCTCTTCTAGCCATAGTTTTCTCCTCTGTAAAATGACGCCTTAGACTACATGGTCTCTTACATGCCCCCTTCCAGCTCTTAGACTGTGCCACTCCACATCATCTCACCATCTCAAAAGCGGGGTGGCCCCTCCACAAGTCCATGACTCACCACTGGAGCACCAACAGTCCACCCCGATTTTAGCTTCCAAAGTATGAGGAGATAAGGACCAAAACGCTGCAGGCTTCTCAGACCAAGAAGCCTGTCTTCCCTTACACAGTGGACTCAGAGCTCCAGCCTCATCAGCATCTCTCACCACGACAGCAGCTCAGTGATTTGAGCGGGGAGAGGCCGCCAGCTCGCTGCTACTTTTTCACTCAGTTACATCATTTTACGTAATGTCCCAGAAGGACAGCTGGTGTTGGCAGCACCAGTGCCTTACTGGCCTCAGCTCCAAACCTTCTCCCTCATCCAGTGCTATCTCCTGTCTGTACACACCTGCTCTCTATCTCAGGATAGAGCCTGCTTTTGAGGGCTGCATTATGGCCTTTCCTCATCATTCCACCTCAAGTACCCTAAGTACCCCAACCCATGTGTGTTTCTTTGTTTTTTAAAAAAGCTTTTAAAACTAAGTATACAGATGCAGAAAGACAACCATAAAGTCAGGTTCACGGGTCAATCTTAACAGCAGCCTCCTGATGTGATGCAACAGGAAGTGCAAAACACTACATCAATCAAGCTTCTAAAATGAATTACCCATTTACAGAAAATACAGAGGATAGATGTGTGCATTAAACAACTCCATGAGGATGTAATCAGCCAAATTCAGAATGTGGGGACTGTCTACAGGACAAGTAACCCAAGTTCTCCAAAAAATAAATAGAATGGGAGGGGCTTGGAGTTACACATTGAGACAGGAGACATTTCAACTATGTATACTGTATGGATCTCACTGGAACCAGATTCAAATAAATCAACTGTGAAAAATATACCTGTGATATAACAAAAATTGGATTTAGCCTAAGCATTAGTTGATATTAAGGAATTATTGTTAATTTTGTTGTGTATAATAATGGCATTGTGTAACTTTTTTTTTTTAAAAGGT